CTACTCAACTGTGTTATCAGAAGAACAAGTCCTTTTCTTTGTGTTAGAAATATAAAGTGTCAAATTCCATGACTTATTTAGATGAGTCCTGAATTTTTATCTGATCTCCATTCCTATATAGTCATATTTGTTGATATGGTGCACTTTCTGGAAATGCCCTTTAACTTTTATCATTTTACTTAAAAGTTATATCCTTTAGGAAAACTCACTTGACCTCCCTTCCTTATGATAGTGTGGAGTTTAGGAAGAAATATTTTCTTTTTCAATTTATTATCAATGATCTATTTCTCAAGCCTGGAATCAGTGGGCCCCATCAACATCATTTCAAAGGTAACACAGATATTGAAGTCAGATCATATTCCACAGTCTTTTGGACCTGAGAACGAGGAAACGTTATTAATTGAATTAGGGCATTAAAAACAGATGATTACTTTGGAATGGCATAGGAGAGTGGGGAAGGAATTGAGTAACTTTTCAGAGTAAATATGTTTCATTTTAGACTTACTATACTCGAGGTGCTAATATTTAAATAATCTCGTTTAATGCATGTATGTCTTGTGTATGTATGTGTATATGCATATAGGTACACCCATGTGTGCTTACATTTTTGAGGGCAGAGATTGAAGCTGTGTGTCCTCCTGGCATGCTCTCACTTAGTCTTTCCCTGAACCTGAAGTTTTTCTAATGTGGCAACCAGGGACTTCTAGAGTTCCACTGTCTTTTCCCCCAGCACGGTTACTGTAGAAGGTGCTGCTGCCCAGTTTTTTATGTGGGTGCTGAGGATCTGAACTCAGGTTGTCTACTTGTACGATAAACAGTTGTACTAGTTTTTGGTAATTCAACTAGAGTCATCTGGGAAGGGGTAAGGTCAGCTGAGCAATGCTTCCAACAGATGGACCTGTGTGCATGTCCTGAGTAATGATTGATGTGGGCAGACCCAGCCCACTGTAGGTGGTGTCATCCCTAAGCAGAGCAGCTTGGCTGTATAATATAAGCTCTCAAGGTTGCCTTCTGATCTTAGTATTACAATACTGATTACCAGAGGGCGTTGAAGGAGAATGTTCCTGAGTCTTGTACTAGTTTATTTACAAAACCTTTCGTGTCTCAGGAGCTCTTGGTGACCAGAGCTGCTGGGTGAGCTTTTGTCCTTTTCTGCTTCTGAGTTTGATGCCAGAAAACAAGTGCTCGTCACTTGTCTTTCCCCCCCTCAGCTTCTCTCTCCATCAGCTCTGTGTTTACAGCGCTGCTCTTACCTGTTTGAACTTTTGTCCTCAGTCTTCTCACACCTTTCTGAATCTGATAGTTGATGGTTTTCACTTTCTCACTGACTAGACCTGTAAAGGCCAAGGGACAGGCATGCTACCTGAAGCCATGACCTGTCAAACACAAGTAATGGGTCTATTTGCATTCAGTATTTGCTTCATTTCCCTCTGTTGGGAAGAAATGACATTCTTGCTTGCTTAATGAGGAGTGAATGTCAGTATTTTCAGAAATAGCTATGTGATCCTCAAGAGAAAGCATTTTTTTTTTGCAATGAAATATGCTCTCCAGACATTTTGGAAAAATTGAAACCCAAAATAAGAAAGATAGAAATGTAATAGTTTGGGGTTAAAAGTTATCTCAAATATTCTTACTAGCATTTTTGAAAACATAGTTTTCTTAATTTGACGTTTTAAGCTTTCAATGGATAAAAATGTGTAATATTCCAAAGAGATGTCTACTGGTAAAAAGTAGAAGAGGAATTTAAAAATAATGATGGAAGTAATTCCAGTTTTACTGTGCAATACACTTATTTCATAAATTTTATTTTGCTTTATTTTTATTTAATTGGATTGGACAGGTTTTGATTGGAAGCCCACTTGTAATTGAGACAATTTAAATATAATTGAAGTCAAATAAATTCATATTATCAAAAGGATTCTTACCTAATTACTATATGTATATAATTACAGTTTTTAACCACAGTTAGAAAAGTATTCACACATTTGGTAATGTTTGTTTCATAGCATATATTCCTTTGAGTGCCGTGATTAGTGCTCATCTGTATACATGCTAACATTTCAAGTTTATTATAAATGTATTGAGTTTGCTTTTCTCTCCAATGACAACAGTGTTGTTTTGTAGAGGAGCTTTATTAACTGCGCATTTATTTATTGATTATTTATCTTAAAGGAAGCCTCGTTGGAAACTCATATTTAGTCTGCCGTATTCCCTTTCGCTTCTAATAACATTTTAGAAATAAAAGTAACTTCTTTCTTTTGCTGTAAAATATTTGTCATCTCCTGTACCCCAGATTTATTGGACTTCGGTAGCGTTGAGTGGCTTTTGGCTGGAATGTTTATTATGACATCATTGTAATCTGATGCAGGTTGTGATTTCAGATGGTTTCAGTGTTAAATATTTTCATAATTATGCTAGTTTTGGCCGTTCACATAAGACTTTTTTTTCACATATCCTTAATGAACGTGTTTTACTTCTGGGCTTTTGAGGCAAACACGTTTCAAAAATGAATAGTGTGCTTTTAATGTTAATATTGTGCAGAGTATCTAACTGGATTTTTTAAAGTTGTTTTTTGAACGAAGGGTAATTATAGTGAAGTTCTGCTCATGGTAGTAGTCTTTAAGTATTTGAGGACTGAAGCATACCCACAACTAACAGAAGATGTCATTGGAAAGATTGAATTATGATGTTGTTTTGTGGAATGAAACACTCTGGAATTATTATGTGTTATCTTAAAAAATGAACATTTTAGGCAGATTTCCTTTGTTGTTTATGATGTCAAATATTTTGTTTTTTTGCTTATTTGAAGTTTCAGGCAATATTTTCCCAAATGCGCCACCAGCATCTGAAGTTATGCTGCACTGTAAAAGAGACTCAGCTTTTATTAGGATATATTTCTCTTGGCGTTATTAAATAAGGACTTTTCTCTTCTTGTTGAATGTATGTGTGTGTTATGCTTATATATATGTATTGTGTATATGGTTCACATGTGGGTGGGTGCTTGGTACGTGTGTATGCACACTTGTGGAGCCCAGATGTTAATGCTGGGTGCCTTCCTTTGTTGCTTTAGTCTTTATTTAACGAGGTCGGGTCTCTTGCTAAACCTGGAGCTTGCTGATTCTGCTAGTCTGGCCTTTCAGCTTGCCCTGTTGACCCTGTCTCTACTTGTTGCGTACTGAGATTAAGTGGACTGCTGTGCCTGACTCTTGAATAGGTACTGGGAATGCAGACTCTTGTCCTCACACTTGTGTGGCAAGTGTTCAATCCGTGCCGCATGTAACCCAGCCCCGAAGTTTTGTTTTATATATTTTTGAGATTTTATTTATTTATTTTAATTTTATGTTTTTGGATGTTTTTTTCTTTATCATGTGCATGCCTGGTGCCTCCAGAGTTTAAAAGAAGGTATCGGCTCTCCTGGAACTGGAGTTATAGACAGTTGTGAGCTCCCATGTGGGTGTCCAGGTCCTCTGCAAAAGCAGCCCAATGCTGTTAATTGCTGAGTCATCTATTCAGTCCCTGAATTTCAGTTTTGAAGGAAGGTCTTCATATCTTTTATTTACTCCTATTACAAATTATATCTGCATATTTAGTAATTATTTGTGTGTGTATGTGTGTGAAATAAAAACTAAATTTCCCCCATTGTAAATGTCATAGTAATTACTGAGAGGGGAGTGAAGGACGAAGGTCACCATCCACCCTTTGTGTTGGTGTTCCTCCCTGCACATCTGCATGTCACGTTAAGTTGTGCTTTTTGTTCTTAACAAGAGAATAGTGAGTTGACAATTGTGCTTATCTCAATATTTTGTCTTTTCTCTTTTTCTCATACCTATTTTTATTTTACATTTAATTAATTCAATTTGTGTATGCTTATGTGCATGCATATTTTAAGGTGTAACTTACCTTCTAATTCTAAATGGAATGACTATCTTCCTCTTAAAAAGAAAAGAAAGAGAAGGAAGGAAGGAAGGAAGGAAGGAAGGAAGGAAGGAAGGAAGGACGGACGGAAGGAAGGACGGACTGCTTGGAACTAGCTAATAATGTTTTTGAACTCCTTGATGACAGGTGTAACTAATTTATCTTAGGAAATAAGTCCACCAATGAAGACATGACTATTTTTATAAATGTTAATTTAGGACATGAAAATTATACTCATTTGTATTTTTTAAAAAAGGAGATAATTAGAAATGTACAATTTATGTTTTTATGTATCCATATCAAACCCATGTAAACTATATTTACTACTAATAGTAATTTAGTAAGTATTATTAAATAGTATGCGAAGATTGCAAGACATAAATAGAGATAACTAAGATGACTGCTTGGATTCTAAATAATGAGAATTTTAACATAGAAGTCATAGAACAGAACATTAATTTCCTTTCCTTTTATTTTGTTTTTAGATATGGAAATCATTAAAACATTTTCCTGAATAGGCATATAGGTTTGTAAAGCCATAAATAAGATGTCTTTGGATAGTGCCAGGTAATTTGTTTTGGAGCTAGCTAAAGAAAGACGTGTTAAAGCAGTTAGTGTATGTGTGTGATGTGTGCCCTGCCTGTGTGGGCCCTGAGGCCAGAGCTGCACGGTCTTTATCATTCTCCACCGTATTCCTTTGAGGCAGGGCATCTTCTAGACCTGGAGTTGTAGGTTCTGGCTTGGTTGGCCATCAGGAAGTCCTGTAATCCTCCTGTCATTGCTTTACTTTGTGCAGGGCTTACAGGTGTGTGTAGTTATGTTATTGGTGAGCTGTGTGCAGGCTGGGATCAGCAGTCCCTCTGCTGTGTATTAAGTGCTGTTAGCTGCTGAACATCTGCCCAGGCCTTAAACTAGTTATTGTTAAGTACTGTTTGCAAATGCATAATTTGAAAATTGGTTACATAAATTTTGAGAGCTAAAATTTGTAAAGTCTGACTTTTAGTAATCTTAAATTCACATGCTGACCAAAATTTTCTAGTTCTTGAATGTGATCAATGTTTCTTTTTTCTTTAAAACAAAAATAGGATGACCATGAAAGCTGTGGTTCCAACTCTACCAACCGAAGCACTGCTGAAAACGCAAAATCATCCGTCAAACCCCGAAGAATTCAGCAGGCTGCTCCTACAGACCCTGATTTGCCACCAGGTAACTTCTCACGTTGAGATTACTGTTGTTACTGACCATGTGTTAGTGTTTGTAGAATATATATTTTCTGTCTTATTTGCTGCCATAAAATGTTTAGGTCATATGCACATGTGCTTTGCCACATGACTTCAGAACATGTTGGGTCCAGAGCCCTCACAGATGGCTCCTAGTCAGATCTTGGTCTATCCTTTGTGGTTGTAGTCAGAGCCTCTCCCAGCAGAGCCTCAGGGTTTCCTTGCCTTGTTTTGTGCTAAGAGCCAAGAGAAGGCACTGGGTCACTGTGTTACTGGATGCTAAATTACCAGCAAGATGATAGGATATTGTAGCTGTATCTGAAAGATACCATAGATACATCCTGCTTTATTTCCTGATGTCTTTATTTATCCAAGATAGTATGATTTGCAAACAAACACTTCCTAGGCAAATATTTAATGAAGAAAGAGATCATTTCCTGCTAGCATTGTAGTCACATTGCTGCCTTTACAAGTAAGTTGTCACTTACTTCTCTTCTGAGTTTTAAATTTTATTAGTCATGTTTTTGTGTGTTGTAGTGGAGACTGGTGTATGCTTTATTGTGCTACATTTGTAGGTTCTCTGCTAGTTTTAATTCAGTTAACATCTGTGTTAACAGATAGTGTTAGACAGACCATTTTGACAGCTCTGCCACTCTCAAATGTGTTCAGAGTTCCCGATGCCGTTGAAGTGAGAGTCCTTTGCACGTGCTGTGGGCAGCTCGGTGCTGATGCTGCCTACTCCTGTCTTGCCAAGTGACTGTCTGGGCTAGAGAAGGAGCCACAGGATATTCCTAATGTTTCCAGAAGTTTCTCAACTTCTTACTAATCATTCCTTTGGGAAAATTGTCAAGTTAAACTGGTAGCTTATACTAATTTATTAAATGTGTAGCTTAATTTCTTCAAATTCAACAATGTATCTTCTTAGAATTTCCAGCATCGCCCATGGTGTGTAAACTTGTCTCTTGCTCTTTCCCTGTCTCTCTTGCTTCCTCTTTTCCTGTGTCTTTCTTCCCTTCTGCCAGTTTAAGGTAAATCAAGTTTTGTTGCATATTTTGCTTTTCTTAAGAAAAACCTCAAAATCTTGTTATTTTTTAACTTCAGATAGAACAATTTTACGGCTGATTTGTGAACTTGGGTTCTACATATTTAATGACTCTTTAGCGTCAGCATTAGGATTTAGACTGGTAGAGTTATGACAGTTGACTAATTTTCAGTGCCATAAAACCGTGTTCTACGTGGGCAGCTTGAGGTAGCTTGTGGCTTAACATGTGTTTCCTGCCTTGTCTGAGAAACTAGAAAGTTGTTAAGCAGCAACTAGATTGCTAGCTAACTACTAGAAGTCAGGACAGTTAATTTTTGCTAAAGGGGAAAAGAGAAGAATTTTGAGAATCTGATTGGGTAAGCTGACAGAGATCATTTATTCAAAGAATGACCTATATTGCTATTATTCTGCCTTGTTTTTGTTTTTGTTTTTCAAAGTAGAGGTAGACTCCTGTTTCTAACTTTCTTCGGGCAGAGTTTTGTCTCTGTGGTTATAGTTTTTAAGTTGGAATATTTTTATGGATTCAAAAAGATTTAAAACTTTAACATTTAAACATTTTTTGTTTTGCCTGCAGAGGCTAGAAGAGGGCCTGGGACTGCAGTTACAAGATTTGGGCTGGTCTCCATTGGAGAGCAGCCAGTGCTCTTAACTATGGAACCATCTTGCCAGATTCTCCAGAAATGATGTTGATGAAAGTTTTGGTGTTGTCAATATAGGCATTCTTTTTTTCCTGAGTAAATAGCTTCCTAACAAGGAAAGAGTAAGAATCAGTATCTAGAACAATCTTTCAGATTGTGTGTCTTGACCAATGATTAATTCATCATTAAAGCTGTTTAGTGGGTTACAATAAGCATTTTTTAAAAACAAATGTCTCAGGATAGAAAACCTCAAGGTAATAGTATGTAGTAACTGAGGTGTGTGTGTGTGTGTGTGTGTGTTTGGGCTAGGATTTGATGTCATATTCTGACTAGGTGAAGGTCAGCAGAGAAGAGTCTGATTTGAAGCATATGTATTTGCTTTAAGTCAGTTATAGAGGTCCAAGAGCAGTCTTTTGTGGTGATGAGAGCCTCGAGTTCTAGGCTTAGCTCCTCTGAGACACTGACTGTTTTTCCTGTATGTTTACTGTTTTCTGCTTTTCTCCAAGTTCCCTGCATATTGTTTTTTGTTGTTGTTCTTGTTTGTTTTTCACTCCCCCTTTCTTTTCCTTTGCTGGGGATCAAACAAAACTTCACACAGGTTAGGCAAACACTACCACTGAGATTCACACTAGATGCTCAGAGAAACTAGATGCTCAGGTTTCTGTAGTTTATCTTGGTGTAAGATGCGTCCAGGTTTTCCTTCGGTTCTGTTTTCTCTGAATTAGAGTTTGGCTTTTATTGAAGGCTTTTTTCTTTAAAATGTTCTTAAAGAGTATTGGTTTGACTTCAGTTAGAGTCTATTAATTGATTTATACTTTTCTTTACAAAGTATTTCTCTTTTAAATTTTCTACTTTAATTGTATGCTAGGATGCTCAGAGATAAATTTATGTTTCATTATGTAGATGTAGTACAGATGCATTACAACTCCTCTCTCTCTCTCTCTCTCTCTCTCTCTCTCTCTAATGCAAATATTTAGGGTTTAGTTAACCTCAAAACTCTGTACTCATTGGACCAGAAACTCTATCTTAGTCATTTTTGATAATCAGTAGCATGATAGCAAGCAAACACGTTCTGTGACAGGCCGCTAAGGCCACGTAAGCCGTTCTTTTGTCAGTCTTCTGAGAATATTGTGAAACCAGATACACATGGTTAGTAAAGTAAGACTGTGGCTGTGTGCCTCGTACAGCCCATACCACCCTGCAGACCATCCTTTCAGACCATGATGCAAATGATTATAAGGATGTAATTACTGATGATTTGAGTTCACATTTGCTGTTTGTAAAGTCTTTTCTAAGATGCTTATGTTCCTGTTCCACCCTTGCTTACTGTTTTCGGAGAGCTAAAGTAGCTGTTGCTCTGTGCTTTTGTAGGTTTTATGGCTGTGCTTGTTGGGAGAGATGGATGGAGCACTTAGAATTACACTTCTTAGACTTGGAGCCTCACTTTACTCTGCGGCCACATGCATACGCACATGCACTTTGTTTGGTTACTTGAATTTTTTCTTGGCTATTAATAATATTATTCCAGGACATTACTATATTTTATAATTTTTTTAAAAAAGTCAGTGCTATATAGTAGTAGTAGTTTTTCTTTATTTTGCTAAACTAATCTTTTATTCTTTAGTATGTTTTCATTTTCATTTTTATAAAATAGTTTGGCATATAGGCAGATAAATCTTTGCATACATCTCTTTATTTTCTTAAAGAGATTCTTACTAATTTATAGAATTAAAATATATAGATATGTAGTATATAAATATATTATATAAATACATATGCACAATAGATTTATGATACAATATACATAATATATTTATATAAGATATACAAATACATGTTATATATAGTTTATTATATATCATATATATGAATGATTTTAAGTTTTTCAGTATAGGTGACAAAATTATTGTTTGACAATCTTTTATTACATCAAGGTTTTGGTGCATTACTGTTTATTTTTACTATTATAAATGTTCTATTGAAATTTTCAGGTGGAAAACTGCTATCCCATACGCTTTATAGCTATATCTAATTAATCGTTTATCATCTTATTTCTGTTTTGTCACTTTGTGTAAAAAAACTTAAAATATCCTATTAACTTATTAATATTCTACTATTTTCAGTTACTGCCCTTTGGCTTTTTTTATGTAAAATGCCATTAGTTTTGTAGGATTAAAAAGACTTATTTTTGTGTATGCACGCATGTGTATGTCCAAGTTTGTGCCATGGTGCATATATGGAGAACAGCTTGAAGAAGTTGCTTCTTTCCTCCCACATGTGGATCGCAGGTCAGCTTGCTTGGTTTCTGAGGCAAGTTCTTTTACGTCCTGAGTCATCTTGCTATCCTGTCCCTTTGTTCTTTATTTTCCTTCTTTTGCTTCTGAGCAGTCTAGGTATGTTCACATCCATCCATTCGTGGCACAGGTATGTTCACACACAGTAGCCTGGGGCTAACACTGAACATTATCTTTCTATTGCTCACCTCTTTATTTTCTGTGGCAGGGTCTCTCTGACTGACTGCCGTGGAGGTCCAGGAACCCACCTGTCTTTGCTCCCCAGCTCTGGGCTCCTGATATGAGCCCCAGTGCGTGGCTCCTTTTCTGTGGGATTCAGGGTCTCATATTTGAGTGGCACTTTACTCACTGGAGCATCTCCTCAACCTTGTATTTTTTAAACCCTCTGGGACAGTGTCTCATCATATGGCACTGATTGTCCTGAAACTTAAGCAGACCCCATGGATCAGCCTGCTGCTGTCCTCTGGCAACTGCCTCTCTGTCTTCTTAAGTACTGTGTTTCTCCTCTACCGCGTGTCAGTGTTACATGTCAGCGAGGGCTGCACTCGTGTTTCTCCTCTACCGTGTCTTACATTTTGCTGTTTAAACACAGTCAGGATGTAGTATCATTGCTGTCCTTTAATTTGTTAATTGATTTTTGAGATCATTTCTTGTTATGAAGCCATGGAACTCTGCTTTCTTCTGTCTCAGCCTCTAGGACAGCTGGGAATATAGGTGTGTGACACATGCCAACTGTTCATGAAGCAGGCAGAGAGCAGACAAAGTATATCTATAATACAGTGATCCTTGTGTAGGATCTAGTGCTAGCATTACTAAACATGGCCTCTGGTATATTTGTTCATATTCATGTTTCCTTACAGTGTCTTTTAGTAAAACTATATGTTGGGCTGTCTGCTATTCTAGTTTATTTAAACTTTAATTTCATCTTTACAGAATACTCTAAAACAATAGTCATCTTTTACATACTTTGTTTAGTAACATTTCAAGAGTATTTATTTGCAGACTTACAGCTAGCTAATTGAGCCTTTTCCTTACTTTGTAGGATACGTGCAGAGTCTGATTAGACGAGTTGTAAATAATGTAAACATTGTTATAAATAATCTGATACTGAAATATGTTGAAGATGATATTGTCCTTTCTGTCAACATCACTTCTGCTGAATGTTATACTGTAGATGAATTATGGGATCGTGCATTCATGGATATTTCCGGTGAGTAAATGTCAAGAAAATAGTGTTTGTGCATACTTATCTATAAGTGATAAAATCACATTCATTTCTTAACCTTTTTGGATGTCTTTTTTTTTTTTTTTCTATTTTTCTTTGTGGCATGATTTCTCCATGTAGCTTTGAGCCTTTCTGGAACTTGCTTTGTAGACCAGGCTGACCTTGAACTCACAGAGATCCACCTGCTTCTGCCTCCCAAATTCTGGAATTAAAGGCGTGCACCACAACCACCTGGCTTATTTGGGGGGACTTTTTGGTAGCTGTAACAAAAAGCATATGAAGTGGGAAAAGTGCATGTCCACAAAAGTTAGCATGGAAGGTTAATAGCAGTTGAAGAACCATGAGAGTGGCCTGGAGGGGTGGCTCAGCCTTGAAGGGCTAGGCTTACAACCAACAATATAAGAAACCATGAGATTGTTTTTGAAAATTAAAAATTTTTATTCTCTACCTATCATATGGTTTTTCAACTATGATACACAGTATTTTACAGTATAATGGGTTATACCAATAAAAATTAAATTTGCTTTGCATTTTAATTGCCTTTTTAATGAAAGAAAGCAAGAATATTGCCTTACATACCTTTTTAAGAACATCTGGAAATCTTTGATTGTCTTGAAGCTTTTGGCTATGACTTGTCTCATTCTCTGCAGTGCTGACCCTGCAGTGGGTGTCGTCAGCCACTACTCTGCTTGACATCCACACTGCTCGTTGGTCTAATTAATCAAATAAGAAAATTGGCATATGTTTGATACATTTAGAAATGTGTTCTAATTTTCCTTTTTTGCTCACAGTGGTTTTCTTTTTGTTTTTCTTTTTTAAGCTACTGATCTGGTGCTGAGGAAGGTCATCAATTTTTCTGACTGTACAGTTTGTCTTGATAAAAGAAATGCCAGTGGTAAAATCGAATTTTACCAGGATCCTTTATTATACAAATGTTCTTTCAGAACTCGTCTTCATTTTACATATGATAACCTAAATTCCAAGATGCCATCTATTATTAAAGTGAGTATCTCTTTTTCTAGTAGTTTGCTTACATGCCTTTATTTTGTTTTTTGGTTCTTGTGCATTGTAATTAAAGGAAAATATCCAAAGGAAAAATGAACTTTATCAATATATGTACTATTTGTTTTTATAAAAAGTTAAATATATTAGTTTTTATTTTGAATTTTTTTGTACAATGTGTTCTAGTAGAGATATTTTGGAGGCAACCTCTTCTGCAGTGATGAATGTCCTTTGGTCTTGCTGGCTATTACTAGTCCTTACCTTGTTACAGCCTGAGGATGTCATATGAAAACGCAGCCCACGGCTCTGAGATTTCATTGCAGTACCACTCAGGAATTTAGCGCAGCAGTAATCTGAATTTCAGTCCTTAAAATTTGCTGGGCACCATATGATGACTAGATTTGTCTTATGCTGTTTTATAAGGCTTGATATGACAACCTAACCATATACTTTAGTTTTTTGGCTCAACAATTTTTGCTGCTGCTGTTGACCTGGGTCTAACTCTGTAGGCCAGGCTATCCTTGAATTCATTATGTATCTCAGGCTGGCCCTAAATTAGCAATTTTCCTGTCTTAGCTTCCTGCATGCTGAGCCACCATGAGTTATCATGCTAGGCCAAGTATTAGCTTTTTTTTTTTTATTTTTGAGACAGGGCTTCTCTGTAGTTTTTGGTGCCTGTCCTGGAACTAGCTCTTGTAGACCAGGCTGGCCTTGAACTCACAGAGATCCACCTGCCTCTGCCTCCCGAGTGCTGAGTATTAGTTTTTGATCCATAGTTCCAATATGTACGTAAAGTTTGGAGCACTGGAGTTTCCCAGGACATGTCTTTTGATGCATGCAAGATACTGGCCTATGAGTACAGCAGAGTGTTGTTAGGAGTCATTTTATTGCCACATTCTTTTAGTAGAATAGTTGTATTTGGTTTTCTCCTAGGTCGCAGGGCTAACTAGCCTCAGGTTCTTGGTTACCTTAGTGGTGTTGGGTATGGGTTCTTTCTTGGGGAGTGGACCTTAAGTTAAATTGGTGGGTTACTCCCACGAGCTCTGTGCCATTGTTGCATTAGCACAGCTTCCAGGGGACACCATTGTGGATGAGAGGGATTTTAGCTGGGTTGGTGTTTGTATTTTTCCTTTGTAGCGTGCAGAGTGCTTTCCTGCACCAAAACTGCTGGAGTTTGGGGATGAGGGCTCTATGTTCACCAGCTGAACTTTTCCATGTTCAGTGAGATGTGTAGGTGTTGTCTCAGCAATAGGGCCTTGATCGTAAAGTACAGTAACTGCCTACTTTATGTTTATGTATGAAATTTTGCTTTTCCTTGATAGGAATCAGTCATCTGTATTTTACTTTTATCTTCCACTGTGTCCAATCTGTATTGGTTTATCTGTATTTGTTAGTGTGTGTGTGTGTGTGCGCGCGCGCGCGTGCATACAGGGAAAAGTATTACTAAATAGTATTGGTATCTCTGTCTCAGAAAATAAACTTCTGTTCCTAAGCCTTGGATTGGCTATTGAAACACATGTGCACACACATGCTTACTTTTTGAAATAGAACCTTGATTTGTATTCTAAGTGGACCTTGAATTTGTGATCTTCCTATTTTATTCTCTATAATATTTTCTATTATAGGCTTATATTGTATCATCATACCTGGCGCTAAAACATATTTTGAAATCAAATAATGGGTGTGTGGAGACTTTACTATATAAAATAATCTTGCTCATTAGTGGAAGTTTAGTTGTCCCTTATAGGATTTGCCTAGCGGTTGAAAAGTGCCTCAGAGCAATGAAGTTTGCTTACAGGTGCCTTTTTTTTTTTTTTTCTTTTGGAGACAGGCTTTCTCTGTGTAGCCCTTGCTGTCCTGGAATTCGCTCTGTAGACCAGACTGGCCTCAAACTCAGATCCACTTGCTTCTGCCTCACAAGTGCTGTGATTAAAGGCATGCACCACCACTGCCCTGCTTATAAGTGCTTTTAACTCTGCTGATTACCACAGAAACTTATCAAATGGATGTGGCTAAACTTCGAATCACTTAAGTTTTTTCTTACTATTCATTTTTATTTTGTAATTTTGTAGACCTTTTTCATAGGCTTAAGTGGATTTTGAATGTATATGTATTTTGTGTAGACTGTTATAATTTTCAATGTTTCGTGTGAAATGTGTTTTAGAGATTGTGTCATAAGAAATAGATCATATGGAAACATTTAATTGCCCCTCTATTTTTGCTGTTTACTCTTTTTTTTCTTAAAGAATGAAGTTTGTATATAAATATTTAGCCATGTATGAGTAATTCCTTAGGAGAGGTTTCTATAATATTATAGGTATAAATATCTTAATAATGGGTTTAATTTTTTTCTAAGGCTTATAAATCTGTCTCGAATAGTTATCTCCAGGGAGATTTGACCAGGGCATATAGCCATTATTATTAAGGGTACTGTTCATATTATACTCTATATTTCCAACTTGTTAGGCAAGGAATGACAGTTCAATTGGCATTTATTTCTTAGCATTATGAAGGAAATTTATGGGCATTTGATTGTTGAGAATCCATTTAGGTTCTTTGTTTCTTTCTGGTGAGGAAATGATACAGATTGATGTGTGTATGAATGATAGATTTTCCTTTTCTCTTGCTTGTTTTGCCAAGGCCACTTTCCACTGGTGCTGTTGTTACTTCAGTACTTGACAAGGACAAGGCTGAGGTGGCTCTCCATCATGGGAGGTCTAAGGAGCAGGAAGCCAAAGACAGTCTAATTGTGACAGACATAGCTCCAGAGAAGCTCAGGCTGGGTGTGTGGTACATGTGTACCTGTGATCCTAGCAGTCTGAATGCTAAGGCAGGAGGATTGCAAGTTCAAGACCAGGTTGGGTTGCATAGCATGGCGTAGTCCAGGCAGCCAGCCTGGTTCTTCTCTCATACAAATTTAGTAGCAAATTTACATTCTTCTTCCCCACTCATTTCTTATCCGTTCTGGCTTATTCACTGTGTGACTCTTAGGTAACTTTTAAGGAATCTGTTATTGTATTTGAAGTTTTCTGTCCCCCACAGACCCCACCCCACATGCATCTTTCTCCCTGGCAGGTATTGTTTTTCAGATGCCTTGATTTCCAGTAAGGTGATGGCTGTGACCTCTTTTTCATGTTTCATAGATATTCAGATGCTAGTTATTCACTATAAACCTCGAGGGACTTGTTTTTATGGCCTATTTGTGTTTATGTAACAAAAGGAAACTGTTATAGGTTAGCTGTGTTTGTATCTCATTCTTGTCTTCCTTTTTAAGAATAACTTTGAATACAATGTCCTGTTTGGTAGTAATCTTATTCTTTTCTTATAATTAATTAATGTTTTAAACTTTCTGTCATGCTTTAATAACATTAAAGCTTGTCTGAAAAATTCTTTGAATGTAGTTACTTGATTTTATGTATTTGATGGTAACACTTTAATTGTTTCCATATTTCTATGGAAATATAATATAAAATATAAAAAAAATAAAAATATTTATAATGGGAATCTTTTACCCAGTTTTAACATATGGTTTTAGAATGCCTATGGTTAATAAAATTAAAAAGAATGATTGAAGTCCTACTAAAATGATACGAAACTTACTATGCTTTGATTTGACCATTGCTTCTTTTCTTAGAAGGGTGAAAGGTGGAAATACTGTCAATATTCTTCAATTATTTGGTGATATTATTTCTTTTATAGAATAGTCTAGAACTCCAATATGAATATATCTTTATGGTTATTAACTCTGTTCCCACAGTATTTGTTAAGACTTTCATATAAAGTATAATTATCACAGTAAATATTTTTTAATTCCTAAAATTTTAGAGTAATATTTTGGTTTAATTATTAGGAATGCTTTTTATATTATATCCCATTTTAGGACTTGAAATTGGTCAAGTTACTTTAAAAGATACTTTTAAACATTCTTTTGATAATGCTTTTGGTTTTTTTTTCCAAATACAGATTCATACTTTAGTAGAGAGTCTGAAGCTTTCTCTCACAGACCAGCAGCTGCCCATGTTCATCCGTCTCATGCAGCTGGGGATCACTCTCTACTATGGAGAAATCGGTGATTTTAAAGATGGTGAAACCGAGGACCCTGCCTGTCACAGTAAAGACGCATTAGGAAGCCTTGCAGGTCAGCACAGCAGAGACTTCGTTTAGAACTGCCGAGTTTCACTGCTTAAAACTTTAGTTGTGTCTGTTCACAGGACTGTTTGGTCACGCCCCATCCTGACAGTGTTTGCTGAAGCCAGCGTGTGTTCATGTGTCCCCGTTCTGATGTGTATGCTATCATGGCTCATGGCTTTAGTTTGCATAGTTCTGATGAGTAAATATTTTGAGTTTTCATAGGCACCGACCTTTAGTAAGTTTTTTATCCTGGTAAAATATATGCTAAATATTGCACATTTCAATGCTTTTTCTGTTTTATTATGAACTTGTGTTTTTATATGTTCTGGATTCAAGTCACATTTTATGAGTTTTTTTTGTCAGCCTGTGACTTGCTTATTTATTTTTAATTAAAACCTTGTGTACGCACATGATGTGTTTGGGAGGGGCGGTGTGGGTGTACGTGTGGATGTGAGAGGAGACGTGGTGCAGTCCTTCTCCTCCAGCGGGGCTGGTTTGGTCAGCCTGTGGTGCAGTGCCTTTGCCCTCTGTGCCGTCTTGTCAGCCTAACCGCCTCAGTTTTGACAGATGGTTCTTGAACAGAAGTTTAAGTTTTGATTGAATAGAATCAAGTTTTTCTTTTAATAACTTTTGCTTTCAGTGATAGGGGTTGGTACAGTTGTGAAGGCATCTGCTCTGCTAGCTTGGGGACGTGAGGTCAGATCTTTGGAACCCACACAAGTGCCCGCTGGAATTCCACAATAAGCAGGTAGCCGGGCTGGCTGGGTCAGCCGGCTCTGTAGTAACAGAGACCCTGCCTCCGAGAATAAGGTGGAGAGAGTGGAGGAGAACTCTTGATGTACACACCTCACATGTGCCCCCACATGCATGAGAACACCACATGTGCACAACACATGAAAGAAAATGCTCATTTCTGTGACCTAAGCGAGTGACTAGGTTTTTTGTTTTGTATGTTTTCAGAGGAAGAAAACAGCTCTACTGTTTGCTTCTGAAGGAGCTTGATTTAGTTTTCCCATTTTTAAAAGTGAGAATGCTTTCTTTACTATTTTATTTATAGTGTGTGTAGATGTTTGGAAAAACTTGCGAAGCTCTCAGACAATTCTGAGCAGCTTGATGGTGACATTTGCTGGTGTCCTGGGTTCATGGCAGCGTTCCTGTATGTGTAGACACAGTGTGGCCAGACTTCTTCACTTCTTTCCTGATTCCCGACTTCAGAGCTTTTCAGTCACACATATTTTAGGCACTTATTTGCCAGAGCTCTGTTGAGCTTGCCTCACCTATTAATGTTTCTCTTTCTCTCTGTGTTTCATTTTATATAGTTTTTAGTCCCTGAATAAGTCACTAATTTTCTTCTGCAACTCATTTGCTTTTAGCTTCATCTACCATATGTTAGTGTTTGGAAGTTCAGTTAAGAGACTTCTGTGATTCATGCCAGTTTAAGCATTTTAGAACACATGCCTTCTATTTATATAGCTGTTTAGTGTCCTGTTCTAACACTGTGATCTTTATTTTTCTGGACTTGTTTCTATTGATTTGCTTTCCCTCATTATGTTTTTATTTGCCTTAATAAATTGTATTTATTCTCTGAGTTCAGACTCTTACTAGCTGGCTGGGCTGGACTCAGATTGGTGGGTAAGCAGTGCTACACCAGCCTCTGGGTGACCAGTGACGTGCACCGCTGTGTCCGACTGCCTGGTAGTTTTGATCGGATGCTAGGCACTGTGGATTTTATCTTCCCGAGTTCTAGATGGATTTTTGTTTCAACAAACAGTGACATTACTGGAAATGATTCATGTGAGGCTTGCTTTAAGTCTGTTAGATGGCAGCAGGGCGACTGTCGGCTTAAGTTCCCAGATCTGCTATACTGTTTTCTTGTCTAAGAGAGACTCCTGAACCTGAGTTGGGCTTCTCCTTTTATGAGTATGGCTTAGAATTCTGTCAGCAGTAAGCTGGGGGTGTTGAAGAGTTCAGTGTTCTGGCTTCCCTCATTGATGATAGCCGTTTTGTGTGGAAACCTTTTATTTCTTGTATTTTATCTTTTTCTTTTAAATTGGGAGGATAAATTCTCCTGGATATTTTAAATACTTAGGGTAAATATATTGGATTATAAAAGAAACTAATTATATAGTTCTATTTATCCTATTTAAATGTTCTTTATTTAGTTAAAATGAGTTTATTTTGATTGGCAGGCACTGAAGATGAGACAAGAATAGACATGCAGTATCCTGCTCAGTACAAAGGCCAAGAGTTCTATTCCCAGGACTATGAGGAGCCTCAGGGATGGGTGTCCTGGGCCTGGTCGTTTGTTCCTGCCATTGTGAGTTATGATGCCAGTGAGGAAGACTACCTTGGGAGTGATACCACGTCAACCATGCATCAACAGAAAGTGCAAACCCTGAAGGACCCCATTGTTTCTGTTGGGTTTTATTGCACAAAGGCAACTGTGACATTTAAAGTAGGTTTCTCTTTCTTTTGTTGCTAATATCTGTTAACTTCAGTGTTTAAATTTTAGCAGTAGTGCAGTTTAGCCAAGGGGGCTTAGTGAATGAGAGGTAGAATCTCACAATTCTTCATTAAATTGTACGATCCTTCTAACTGAATTCTTGAATTTTGATTTCCTCTTGTTAAAGTTGTCACCACTTTTCTTTCTTATCTATGTCATATAAACTCCCCTGTGCTGGGTTATTCAGTTGTCATATAAACCTGCTTTAATAATAAAAACAATCTCATAGCTGGGGCTAGAGAGATGCGATGTCATGGTGATTAGAGCTCATGTTGCTCTCTTAGAGGACTGAGTTTTGGTTCCTAGCATCATATCAAGCTCCAGGGGATCCTATGCTCTCTTCTGGCCTCTGTGGGTACTGCATTTATGTGCACATAGCCCCCACATAGACAGAAATAAAGTCAATCTTTAAAATACCTCATTCTATGATTTTTTTAACAAAATATTTTGTTGACACTTATTTCATATTAACTTTCATAATTTTAATAACTTTAATAATTTTCATATTAACAAGACTGAATGTGGTATTTTCACACACACATGTAGCATGTATCAGAAGCTAATTGTCCTCTTTCCCTTTTTTCAACCCTCTGTCACACCCTTATCAACGTTTAGTAATCACTATTGTATTTTAAAGCCATCTTCCTTTGACTTCCTCCTTTGGGAGTGAATATGCGGTACTGCTTTCTGTTTTCTCTGTTGTTGTTGTGTGTGTCCGTAATGTTTTCTAGCTCCATCCATTTTCCTGGACCCCATTGTGTGTATGTATCACTCCAGTGTCATTTACTTGGTGATAGGCTTCTAGGCTGCTTCTGTATCCCGGCTTTAAATAAATGAAGGCATAATAAGTATGGGTATGTAGGAACCTTTTTAGTCTTTGAATATGTCTGAAGTGGGTGACTGGGTCGTCCCCAGGTATCTCAGTACTGTTGTCCATTGACCATGTTCATTTGTATTCTCACCAGAGTGTCTGTTCTTTGCTGGTGCTTGTAATACATTTCTGTTGTTTCTTTTTTAGATTTACTTATTTTACTTCATTTGTATGAATGTTTTGCCTGCATATATGTGTGTGTGTGTGTGTGTGTGTGTGTGTGTGTGTGTGTGTGTGTGT